TAAGCCATCTGCCTGGTAAACTTTCAAGTTTTGTTTCCATGTACATATACACATCCAAACTAAACTGTGTTGTTCTCCATGTCATATATGTGGGTGTATGCATAATTGTGTATTTGTTTATTTTGTCATATTTATATAGTTGTATATTAGAGGTGAAGGCTTTTTGAGAGCTGTATGCAACAAAATTTCATTTTAATGTATGCCGATTAGTGTAAATTAAAATTGACAATAAAGTTATTCTAAATTCTTAGTCTAAGTCTAATTGTGATGGGTGATTGAGTTTGCTAACAGGTTCAAGAAGCGAGGTGTAATATAATGGGGCATTTTAGTAGCCTGTATGCCCAGATTCAGCTTTGGCTCTGAACACATGAAAAAGTAAAATCCTTGTAGGAAAGTAGAAAGTCTTTATATCTACCTGGTCTCAGTTTGCATCAGTGAACACTGTTACATTACATGAGCTATTATTTTAAAATATTAAAAAGTAAAACTTGTGAAAGAGGATAATTGACACAAAGAAGGGCTTATGGTATTTGTAAAAATCTTGAGAGTATAACCATAGAACATTTTCAATCTGATTTCAAAACAATATTTAGAAAATAAATGTGCAAATAAAGTACCTGTTTGCTAATCTTTAAAGCTCTTCTGGGACCATGCAGCAACTGCTTAGGGCAGTAACATGGTTTTTGAGAAAGTTACGGTACAGTACTTACAAAACACTGTTTTACTTACATTTCCATGTTCCCTGGAGCACCTCTTTGGAACCTCAAGTATTCCAGAATTCTAAAGCTGAAGTTGGTTATTTTCTGCTAAATGTTCTTCAACTTCTCTTCAGACATTTTCATGCATTTTATCCAAGCAGGAACTCCAATATATGTTTCTCTCTTTTATTGTTCCATGTGTTATTTTGTGTGGAATAGAAAATTGTTGCAAATTGTAAGCCATCTTTGCCATTTGGTTAATTTGACTGTTTAGTACATAAGCACTTCTAAATTGCAGTCATACTGCTGCTTATGTAGAAAATGAAAGACTCAGCTCTCAGCAAAAGCATGGCAAAGAAGATTAAAGTCTGCATCATAACATTTTCCATTCTTATGGGATGAATTTAACATTTGAAATGAGATGGACGAGAATTTTTTTTTCTTTTCTTTCCTTAAAAACATACCATATTTTTTTGCACGATAAGATGCTCCAGACCATAAGACACACCTAGCTTTTGGGCAGGAAAACAAGAAAAATCTGCCTCTGTCTCCCAGCAATTTGCTTTCTTGCAGCAAACAGCAAACAGCCTGGTCAGCTTCAGCACAGCCAGATTTAGTATGAGCAGCTGATTGGCCGTTGGATCAGCCTCCTGGAATACCACCAATCAGCTGTTCCAGGCTATGGGGATTGCTGCCGCTCATGGCTGCCATCGCCACCCATGGCCGCTGCCACCTATTGCTGTGTCTGTGCACCCCATTTTTGGCCTCTGTGGGATGCATTTTCTGCCTCCACATGTCCTGTTTTTGACCTCTGCAGGCCCCATTTTCAGCTTCTGCGTGTCCCATTTTTGGCCCATTCCAGGTGGCTGGGATCACCACCGCTGCCACCTATCACCATTGATCCCTGCCTGGAATGGGCCAAAAATGGGACACATGGAGGCTGTAAATGGGGCATAGGGAGGCCAAAAATGGGTGAAGGGTGGGGTCTAGGATGTAGCTTCAGCAACATTTGCTCTATAAGACGCACAGATATTTCCACCCACTTTTGGGGGGAGAGGGGAAGTGTGTCTTATAGTGCAAAAAATACAGTACACAGAAATCTTTGCCAATTATTGAGGCTAAAATAGTGATTGTTTGACTGACAGAAGGCTTAAACTCACCATTCAACTATCATGTTCTCTGAGTGACTTTATCCAATAAATTTAATATATATTGCAGGGTATTTCTCAACCTGTTCACACATTTAAAAAAAAAAAATGCAGTACATTGTGCATTCTGATCAAGCCTCCTTTCCCTTCCAGTGCAGCTTTAAAGATGTAAATTATTGC